TTCATACAAATTGTGATTATGATTTATAAGTTGTACACTGAGATAAAACTGTACTAAATGAGAAAGGTGCGCCATGATGAAAGTGGAACGAACTCAGTCGCCTGAAAAGGATAGTTTGAGCATGTGTGGCCTAAATAAGCTAAACCCCCCTCCCTTACCTTATTTAGGCCACATGTGGCCTAAATAAGCACTCCCTTTTAGGGTCATTTTACACCACAGACCAGGACTCCAGGGTAGATTTTAGTTTTAGTTTTAGTAGAGGTTTTACGGCACTCTCAACTGCATAAGGTCATATGAGCGCCAGAAGAATAGAGGTGTACAAGAGAGTAACAAACATAAAAAAAGAAGAAGGGGAGATAAGGACGATAGATGTTTGATATTGATAGGAAAGAAGGAGCAAACCACACCAGAGCACCCGCCAACCACCCACAGGGTAGATTTTGTTTGCTCGATGGTTCGTGTAATAAGAAGAACATCGACACACACATGTTCATTTAGAATTTAGAGCTAGAAAAAAGCAAGATAAACAGAAACAACAGCGCGATCAGTGATAGAAAAGAAGTACAACCTGCCACTGACGTCCTCCAACATAACGCGCCGGAGGGGGCAGAGGAAGATTTAAAAACAGTTTTAGTAGAGGTTTTACGGCGCTCCCAACTGCATACGGTCATGTGAGCGACAGGAGATTAGGTGTGACAAGAGAGTAACAAACATAAAAAAGAAGTGGAGATAAGGACGATAGATGTTTGATACATGTAGGAAAAAATAAGCAAACAACACCAGAGGACCTGGGGAGGGGGGGGGGAAGAAGACCAAGGTAAACGGCATACACCAACTTGGAGATCCATGTACTTGTACTAAAGTCGAACATAAAAACACAATCACGTGCACAGGATTGAACTCAAAAAAGTTTGTCTTATACGAAAAGTTAGCAATTTTTAATATACAGCAAGAAAATCAGGTAAACATTAGGACAGTTCATTGATGTCTTCATTTCAATACTTGCTCATAAAGCGCATGTAAAAGTCAGAGAGGGAGAATCTGAAGGAGGATTCACACACACAAACTGGTGTGATTGGTTGTTTGTTTG